CGATGTATAAGACAACAATCACTACATCGGGATGTATGACATTGAATTGTCCATTCAGTTTGTGCTAGCCATTCAGCCAGAGACAAAAAACCACTAGTTTTTGAAACAGTGCGAAAGTTGCGCACCAGAATATGGTCCTTATTTTGAGGGAAGTCCCGGAACTCAAAACTGAAGCCTTGTATTTGTTTAAAAACGTCGCAGACTGTCTTTCGTCTTCTGAAAGGCGGACTGGTGGGAAGCGCATTGAATACTCTTCAGGGAATTGATTTTTACCTTAAATATAATAGTTCAGAAGATCATTAAACACGTGGCAACTGAAATGATGCGAACTGCGAAATGTCCGGGAAAATCCCGACTTAGCACCCGCAGCGTCCTCTTTTTAAAATTTTTGGTTCGTGGGCGGTAGTCATTCTGTTCGAATGATAGTATAAAAAGGTGATATGAAAAAGAGGTATTGAAGCGTATGCGGGGTGTTGAATATACTTAAAAATGTAAATTAAATAATATGAGATTCCTTTTTTATTTATATACCTTAGCTTGTCGTGCAACTTTGCTTTTGTGACATTGTCAAGTATTGAAATTCGTCCCTCAAATAAAGTGCACTTGCGGATACAGATTTCCCATTGAAATCTAGCGCAGTGAAAGCATGGGAAATATGTCGCGCAATATTATAGGGGGCTCTAGACATTTCATGTTGCAAGCAGTCTGATTCAGCGAACTTCAATTCCACTGACTAAGTCTCTTTTAATTGTATGATGAGTAAAATACGAAAACCAACTAACTTCTTCCGTGCATGGACTTCGGCGCTCTGTTTAACTTACTCTTACTTCGTCCGATGTGTGTGTTTCATATGTGCCTAACTGCGGCTTCTTTTTGTTTCGATGCAGAAGACGTTTGTTTTCAGTTAGTTAAACTCCGTGACAACTGTTTTACATGTCTCCCCTCCTTCTTCCGCCTTACATTTAGGCCTTAAGCGCACCTTGAGAAATTTCAGACGTCATGGAGGACCTGGACAAGATAGATCTCCTGCCAACGGTGAGCAAAATCCCCAGCATGAACGCATCTACCTATCGAAAGTATGCTGAGGGCGTAGCAGCAAACTTTGAGAACTGTGAACTCGCCAAACTGATGTCCATTGAGAAAGTGGTAGAGTGGTGTGCCTACTTGAACTGCAGCAGTTTAGGATGCGTTATTCCACCCCACCCATCCGAACTACTGAGGCAAGCCATTTCTTTTCTTTTCGTTTATAATTTGCTTCATGCATTTTACAGATTCCGGCTCTTTTTTGAATATCTTTCCAGAGGCCTGTGTATGAAGCACTTGTTGAATGTCATTGCTTAGACACTGAGTGTTTTCGCTGTTGCATTCTGTTGCGGATGCGTATCTACTACACTCAGTTTTCAGAACTGACGTTTTAACTTTTATATTTACAGATAGGACTTCTATCGCTTAACGCGAGCAGTATGTATTTATTCATTCGGAAAATTTTCGTATTGAATAATCTCCGCGTGTTTATTTATGTTGCATACAAATTACACAATATTAGCGAAATGTATGCAAATATTTCACAGTTAAAAGGTCTTTCTGTAGGTCTATATGGCTTCGCTTTACCGGATATTGTTTATATGTACTTTTGAAATCCAAAAAAAGAAGTAGAGACCTAGAGGGAGTATCATAAATATGCAGGACGCATTTAAACTTTCGTGGAACTAAAATACTGTCTTAGTCAGGACGAGCAGTACGTAGCTTATTTAATGAAGTGTCAACAGATATTTTGAGACGCATTTTCGACTTAAAAGCATCACTTTGATGAGATCAAAATTATGATTACCCTGTACCATGATTCCAAGGTATTTCAGTTATGCCAGATTCTAACTCAAAACCACTTCTGCGAATAAGCTTGCTATTATATAATTTACAGAATAAATATCATAAATGTACTTTGCCTGGTTGTTTCAGGAACTATGCAATTTGTATATAATAATCTAAAATAAATGAAAAGATTGGCCACTGGCTAACGAGAAACTTCGTGAGTTTCTTTTAGGCAGGAAGCGGGGGGGGGTAGTTAGAAAAAAACGGCTTTCCGACATGTTTAAATTAATTTGGGAAGATTTTTGGGTTAATCCGTAACAGAGCGTTTCATGAGTAGGCTTTTGTGCTCAGACGTCTACTTGGACTTATTGATCAACTGATCACGAACTTCGACGTATGCTGTAAATTTTCAGAATAGTGTTTCCGAAAGTGTTAGTTCCATATCCCATTACTCAAATTCGTGCCTCTCCTCTTTCTTTGTATTTTACTTGAAATTTATCATTGCATTCTAGTCATTTATAACGAAAAATACTGGCAAACTATTGCCGATTCTTAGTCATCACTACTTTGTTAGTTAGCACAAAATGGTGACTAATGCATGTGTCTACCTCTATACGTGTAGATATAACCTCGAGAAAATGAAGGACAAAGTTTCTATTCAAATGAAAACATTTACTTCGTACACATACTGTGGCTGTTTGGACCAGCTACTGGGGAATCGGTTCACTCGTAGGTCCGCAGGCTTTCATGTGGTCTTAGGATAACCACTGAATACAGAAAATGAAAACCGCTGCGACTTTTGAATCACACTGACTTCTTTAAGATCGTCCTCAATACTTAGCCATTAAAAATATCCAAATGTGTTAAATGCCGCTATGGAATATAGGTTGTAGCAATATGGTGGGTTCTGGTTGAATTGTTTATAGACAGTCACCTAGACAACTAGATTATTGTGTTATCGTTATTAAGATTCCTTAGGATGTTTGTGCACTCAACCTACTGTAATAAATCAGTTAGGTCGGTGCACTGCAGAATATTGTGCGGTTAGCTTTCCCGAAATTTCAGAATAAATTGAAGACGTGGGTTTGACCTGTCCGTTGGCAGAACCTACGCATCCTCTTAAGGTCACCTAGCTTTTAACTAATGGACAGTCAATTAAATTATGGAAACTCATTAGACGCCCCCATTGTAAATTTGGGATGTCGGCCTTATTTTGCATCCCCGAGTGGCTGTATTGGAAAACTTATTGGTCATTCGGAATGGAGCGCTGACGCAACTTCTCAACGGTAGGCAACACGAAGGTTGCCAAATCAGATGTCAGAGGAAACGCATTGGGTTGGGCGAACCTTTACTGAGACAAAAGTGCTTACCGGAAGCTTTGAATGTATTTGCCACAAGCCACAAGCTTGTGACGGTCAGTGTCCGCGGTTGAGATTCCTAGGCTTCAGTGCGTGTGCGACTTTGTTCTGTCTGGGTCCGTCTGCAATAAATCAATGAATGACGCATGTTACTTGGCTGGCTTCATGTTTCGGGCGGCTCCAGCAGAGAATCGACTAGGGACGTGAACGTTACAGAGCCGCAACGTGAGAAAGCAGTGGCGACGATCACGGAACTTACTACCACGAGTCTGCAGAATAGGCGTTGATGGATTAAATAAGTGACGATGTTCTGCATGAAAAAGATAACTGAAGGGTACAAAACAACAAAGGTATCGATAGGACACGGGAATACATACCCTTACCGTAAGGCAGATAGCAATGAACTAGATGGTAGGATGGTATAGATTCCCATACGCCAACTCTAAGAACGCGACGCATCTGCAATAAAGGGTACCTATTACCGTGTCTTACCAGGATACCTATCACTGCCTCATGGTTCTGGCGGTTCAAGCGCTTTCTTTTGTGTGTTCATTTCCTACCAACATTTCCGACCTCATTTATTTTGG